TTCTGGGGGAGAAACTCTGGACCCCGTGTCAATGGGTGTAGACTCAGGTCGTAGTGAATGTCCCCACCAAGATTGGAACCAAACCTACACCATTGCCTACAAGTCATTATCGGAAAATTTTCCGATAATGACCTGTAGGCTATACATTATCCCTTACTTATTATACGGCTCCTCACAGCAGCAGTAGAACGCGCCATTGATTTGAATGTAATTTCAAAACGTTCTACCGGTCATTATTTTCTATAACGGACCTCTCAAAACAATAATGACCGCTGCCCATGGCAACGCACTCTCTGCTTGTATTTCAAATGCGTGGATAACTCCGCAAGTAGTTCCGGCCACTCCTGAGCTAGCCACGCTCAATAAACACACTTAAATGTTAATCGGAGAATACTTATACATATACATTCTTCACACACGTGCACGGAAATTTTCAGAATTTTCTGGTCTTGTCTTCATGACAAAAATACTATTTCTCTGCGTCAAAAAGCGATCGTGAAAACCCCGGAAGTAGTTCTGGCCGCTCAATAAACGCAAATGCCAATCGATCAACGCAATGAAATGTTTATCGGAGAGTGAATTATACATATCCAGTCTTAATACAAGTGCACGGAAGTTTTCAGAATTTTCCGTTTACGTTTTCATGACAAAAACACTGATGTAATGCGAGAAAAGGCGATCCCGAAAAACCCGGAAGTAGATACCGGCACATTTTAAGATACCGGCACATTTTCGGACACATTTGCAGAGGATCGAATTATGGATTTAGGTTAGGTTTATGTATGGGTCACTCACCGCTGATGTTCAGAATTCTTTGTTCAGTTTTCATGCAGTTCCAGAGAGTTCTAGTTTGGAAGTTGCCACCCTGACTGTTGCTACTGCCTGCCCGCGGTTGCCGAGCAACGGGAAAACTTTTTGGGACTACTTTATTTGTTGTCATTAAATAAACTTTTGGCATTCATAAAAGTGATCTGAAGTTTATTTTGTGTGTTAAGCTGGTACAAAGCAGTATAATAAGCGGGATAATGTATAGCCTACAGGTCATTATCGGAAAATAAGTACCTTCAGGGCGGAAGCAGACCCCTCCGCTGAGCGTCGGGGTCCGCTTCGCCCTGTCGGTACTTATTTTCCGATAATGACCTGTAGGCTATACATTATCCCTTACTTAAAGGTCCTATATCACGCTTTTCTTCATGTTTCACACTCAATCCTATACACATGTGTGATATTAATGTGTATGATACACCACACAACAATCAAAGCTTGTGAGATTAGAGCCATCTCTTGTATAGAGGTGACGTCACCTCGACTCAAACGAGCTGATCCAGAGAAGAGTCTGCTCCTCTGCCTGTGAGCCCGCCTCCCCCCGCCCGCACGCTGACGTAGCATCACGCTCTTGTCGTTTATCACCTGTACTTAGTAATTTCATACATAAGAATAAACTTTTTCCAACAATGACAATCCGTCACATCGAGCCCTATGTCCTCGATGCACAATCAGACCCTAGTTATTTAGTTTACAGAAGTATACAGCGAGTTAGCGTCACTACTTACAGATCGAGGGGGTCCGAGTATCGTCTTTTACCGTGGGAATAACGTGTTTCCAGATCAGCCTTTGAGTAAGTCCAGTTCCATTGTCTCTGTAGTTCTGGAACAGTCTCAGTGAAGTGTCGCAGATGAACCGGTATTATAATAGATCCATGAGATGAACAGATGAAAAAAGTCGAGGCGCTTTCTTCCTCTTCGGGCCAAATAGTGTGTCACATATTTACACCCATAACACACTTCATTCAAATTGACGTGATCCTAACACTTTTAGTTGCTGACAAAAGCATAAAAACAGAAGCTCTATGTGGTGTCCGCGAGACCAGACCACAGACGCTGGACTCGGGAGCCGGAGCCTGTGCGCTCTGATTCGCTGTTTTGATCCGTCAATCACCTCCCGCCGGCTTTTAATTTATTTTTATTTTTTATTATTTTTGACAAAAAACAGCATACTAATTGTGTATTGTTTACCCCGTTTTGACAAAAGTATTTAACAACTATTTTAAATACAAAGCAAACGGGGTCATGCGCGTCATCAGTGTGGTTTTTGTCACTGAAGTGGACCCGAGCGTTTCTGTGCCTCACGCTGGGGAAGGAGACAGATTGCTCTCTTACAAAAGATTGACAGAATCAATGAATAAACTACTGTGGGCTTGTGTATGAAGGCCAAATAGCATTGTAATCATGTTTAAAGCAGAGAAAAGTCAAAAACCGTGATATGGGCCCTTTAATGTCTCCCACAAAAGAGAGGCCGAGATATTAGAGCTTTCATTATTTGATAAAAAGAAATCAATTTGTCGCTCAATAAAAGAAACAAAGTTTTCATTAGCTAGAAGCTGAGTGTTAAGACGCCACAATGAGCGACCGGATTGTGACTGAAATTGGATATTTATTGAAACGGGAGCATGATCGGATAGGACAATTGCATCGTACTTGCAATCCATTAAGGAAGGTAAAAGTCTGTTATCGAGTAAAAAGAAGTCAATGCGAGTAAAAGTATGGTGGACAGGCGAAAAAAAAGAATATACTTTTTGTTGAGGATTTTAAAAGCGCCAAGGATCCGTTAGGGAAAATTCTTTGGTAAAAGAATTAAGTGCTTTTGCTGCACGTGTAAGGCTAGCAGCTTTATTAGATCAGTGGTTCCCAAAGTGGGGGTCCCGACCCCCCGGGGGGTCGCGGGAACCCCTGGGGGGGTCGCAAGATGATTTCCACACAAACAAAAAAAAAAATATTTTTTTTTGAGCAAATATAAAGCCCTAAATATTTATTTAGCATTTGATTTGATTCAAAAGGACTACTTGTTAAAACAGTGTTTGGAGACTATAATATATTTTAATAACGTTAGTAATTTTGTCCCAGTCATTGCAGCGTCAATCAAAATCATCACGTAACACAGCTCACATCATGCGCAGCGACAAAGCGTGTCCTGCTGTTGTTTGCTAAAAACTAAAGGTGTTTGGAGGCTACAAATAAATAATACTTGCTTTAAAATGAAACGTGGTTAATATCCACAACAGAAAAACCCGGAGGGGGAGAAAAGTCACTTGTAGGGGTCAGGCTGATGGTGCGAAGAGAGGGAGAGAGGGCAAAGGAGAGGGCAAAGGAGGGAGAGAGGGCAGCGGAGGGAGCGGGTGGCCGGTTTATGAGGAACCGCATAAAGTAAAAGCAGAAAGCGGCCGCCCGCTTTTAATGTGCGGACCTCTTTACCGCTGACTCCGGAAAGCCGGCCCACTTTACCGCGGTAGGAGAACAGTGACGGGCGAGCCGCAAGAAATGCGCTCCACTTCTGCTGAGGCGGGAGTCCACCAAGCCCATCACTGTGTCACTACATGAGTAAAAATATGCAAGCCTCCTTTTTTGGGCTGGACAGTGCAGCTCGGTAGTGGCGTGAGTCTCTAGAAAGCGTTACTCCGTATCAAGGAAATACATGCTCATTTCATGTGACGGAAGGGCTGTTGGGGGGGGGGGGGGGGGGTCGCGGGTTAGCAGGGCATTTATGATGGGGGTCGCGGGCTAAAAACTTTGGGAACCCCTGTATTTGATGACCGGTCTAAGTCCACGTCTTGCCAACAGTTAAAATCACCTGCCATCACTAGCGTGTAAGATGACATATTAGGGAGTTGTGCAATCAGTCGTTTGAGAAAATCCTCGTCATCATAATTTGGAGCATAAACATTTACTAAAGCTAAGGGAACATTGTTGATGGTACAAGTAATAATTACATATCTACCATTCGGATCGGAAATTGATTGTAAGTACACAAAAGGAACAGATTTTCGTATTAGAATTGCTACACCCCTAGATTTACTATTAAAAGATGAATGATATATGTTACTAATCCAATTCTTTTTTAATTTCAAATGGTCCAAGTTTTTCAAATGAGTTTCTTGCAAGTAGATAACATGAGCCCCAAGCTGATGAATGTGGTGTAATACGTTTTAATGGGTTGTTGAGCCCTTTGCAGTTAAAACTGGTAAAACGAATCTCTTGTCTTGAAGATGGTGATGAATTGTGTGCCATGATTAAGATCTCTTAAGGAATCTCAAAGCAGTATCTTCTGACCACCTGTAAAAAGAAAACATAAGAAAAAACAAAAAAGAGAACAGAGAACATACCCAAACCACCCACCCACCTCCCCACAAAAAAAAAAAAAAAAATCGCAGAAGTGCCTTCTGAAACCAGACACGCGACCCCATCTACCCCAGTGAAAGAAATACCAGGCCTAACTAAAGCAAGGAGAGAAAAGCACCTAAAAAAAAAAAAGTGCAACTCTCCAGTGGAATGTGAAATTCTTCAAAAGAAAAAAAAAAAGTCACCAATGACTTAAATTTTTTTTAGTAGTTATAAAAATATGTATAAAAAATAAATAAAAGGATCACAGCAAAGATAGAAATAAAATATATATATATATATATATATATATCTATGTATAAATAAATAAAATATCAGAAGTATATCTTATGTATTTATAAAATAAAAAGTTATGAATATCAAAGTAAAATGGGAAAAAAAATGAATCAGATCAATGAAAGAAAGGATAATAATAATAATACAACAGTAAAATAAATAAATTATAAAAAAATTACAATGTAATAGTTCTTACCATCCTCCCCAACAATAACTGCAACAGAAAAACGGAATATAACATATGCGTCGTCCATATGTATACAACCTCAGTGCTCATTGACGCATTTACCAACCAAGGATACCATAATAGTAATAATAAAATAAAAAAACACCAACCCAAAAAAAAAAAAATTAAAAAAAAAAAAAAATAAATATATATATATAGATTGGGACATTGCTCAAAAGAAAAAAGTCAGAGCATTTATGCATGTACACATTGTAAAAGTAATAACACACATTTTAACTAGAAGAAAACAAATTATTGCACCAATGAATAGACTCAAACCTATTCATTATAAAATGTAAAGTTTGTCCATCGTAACAGGTCGTTTAAACAGACTGTGGGTCCACCATGGTCTTGAGATTTTTCTTCACAAAGTCCATAGCCAAGTCGGGACTGTCAAACGTGCGAAGCTGTCCATTGGGGAGTGTTATTCTCAGTGATGCTGGGAAGAAAAGTCCAAACTTTATCCCTGGACAGGAATGAAGTTCTTTCTTCACGCCGCTGAATGCAGCGCGCTTCTTTGCCACAATGGCCGTAAAATCAGGGAAAATAAACACTCGTTTCCCCTGAAAGGTCAGGGCAGGTGACTCACGGGCTTTGCGGAGAATTTCATTCCTTGTCTGGAACTGGTTGACACGAACCACGAAGGGCCGCGGCGGGGCTCCGTCTCCGGGTCTGGGCCGCAGAGTCCGATGCGCCCGGTCGAGAATAGGTTTGACATCGAGGTGAAGTAGATTGTGCAGAAAATCGGCCACAAATTCTGTTGGGCGAGGGCCCTCCGTACCTTCAGCAACGCCAACAATTCGAATATTATTGAGTCTGGAGCGTCCCTCTAGTTCGTCACATTTATTCGTCAATAGCTCAACTTTTCCCTGAAGTTGGCTAACAGAGGCCTGTATGCTAGTTAGCCTCTGCTCATGGTCGTTAGCTGCGACTAAACATTTCAGCCATTTTAAGTTGTACTTCTTTTTCCAAGGCTGGGACAGTGATGTTGTGTCTCTCCTACTTCTCCTACATTTACTTCCACCAACCGCAGGGGGCCAAAACAAGACCAAGATGAAGGTTAGGTGTTCTGATATAATCAAAGATACACACCTGTGATTCACTGGTTTTAGTTCAGTTCGTAAGTGTGTGTGTGTGTGTATATATAATATATATATATATATATATACACACACATATACACACACACACACACACACATATACACACACACACACATATACACTTTTTTTTTTGTAGGGGTATTTAACGTAGTCCTCAAAGGTCCTTCACAGGAGCACACCAGACTCCACCCATTTAAATGAGCTCAGTCTTTACCTGAGGAAATGGTGGAGTCTGGTGTGCTCCTGTTTGGGTAGAATAAAAACCTGCTGCAACACCGGGCCTTTGAGGACAAGGTTGAATACCCCTGCCAATATAGAGTAAACTCAAAGTAGGTTCACAATCATAAAGGCTCTATCTAAAGAAAGAACATTTTGGAGTTCACATGAGTCTGACTCAAGAACAAACAGTGAAGGTCAAGTTTTTAAAAAACATTTAGTTGATTTTTTATGTAGTTCTCCTTAAAATTGTAAATGTAAAACAAAACACTAAATTTACAAACTTAATCTTTATGATTCTTTTTTAGGAAGGAAGAAGTCGGTCAACCTTTCTTGAGACTGTGGACTGCAGACCCTTCCTCCTGTTCATTGGTGAGGATAAGAGGATCACTGGGTTCTATATCATCTTGGACCAAAAGGCCATTTCGTGTGCTGCACAGACAACTTTGGCTGCTTTTGACTCCCTCTTCAAAGCTCACTACGTCTTCAGTATCTCATATGATAAAGCGCTCAAAGGTTTTTACATTCATTCAAACCACTGTGTTCAACATTGACGTTGGCGAGACAAAGGAAACACCACGAGTGAAGGAGCTGCGAGCCAAACTGCTACAAGAACTGACAGAGTCTTTAAAGAGGAACTTCGTTTGTTTAACAATGTTTACTTGTTTTGTTTGCAAAATGCAGCACAGACAATGTTCATTTCTTCTTAATAAAAAGCCATTTTTGTTATGACTAAAAATGGCTTTTTATTATGAAATCTTGTCTTTAGGTAAACTAGAATCCGGCCCTGCAAAAGTCCAAACATTAGGAGAGTTAGAAACTGGAACGATGAAGCTATGCACGTGGGAATGAACACTCTTGTAGCAGTCACAAAATGGATCAAGAGTTATGGGACATGGTGTCAAACTGGACTTTTTGTATGTACTGGTATGTTCAATGACTTGCCTTTTGTTTAAAAGAATTAAGCAAATTGTACTTTATGAAAACCAGGTATTTGTTGTCGACGGAACAGTTAAGACTGAACATTTTTATGCTTATTGTATTGAAGTGGAGGAAATTCATTGAGATTGAAAATCTCAAATACTTTAAACCCTTTGATAGACTGTTGGCAAATGATGACAATGGACTGTTCTACCATGTACCTTATTGTCACCTGATTTAAAATGTTTGTGTCAATAAATCAAAATGTATTCTGATGCTTATTTTTTCCATTGTCCTAAAAACTAACTTGGGAAATCTTTTTGTATCCAAATCCGGCTTTAAACTTCTCCACAACAGTATCTCGGACCTGCCTGGTGTGTTCCTTTGTCTTCATGGTTCTCTCTGCGCTTTAAACAGAACCCTGAGACTATCAAAGAGCAGGTGCAATTATATGGAGACTCGATCACACACGGGTGCATTCTATTTATCATCATCAGTCATTTAGGACAACATTGGATCATTCAAAGATCCTCTCTGAACTTCTGGAGTGAGTTTGCTGCACTGAAAGTAAAGGGGCCGAATAATATTGCACGCCCCACTTTTCAGTTTTTTATTTGTTAAAAAAGTTTAAATTATCCAACAAATTTCATTCCACTTCACGATTGTGTCCCACTTGTTGTTGATTCATGACAAAAAAATAAAATTAAATATCTTTATGTTTGAAGCCTGAAATGTGGCGAAATGTTGAAAGGTTCAAGGGGGCCGAATACTTTCGCAAGGCACTGTAACTCTGCAAAAAGTGTTAATTTAACACTTTCTGGTGTGGTCGCATATAAACCCCAGAAAAGGGTTAAAAGTAACACCCATGGAGTTGATTTGCCAATGTGGATTTTGCTGTGTATGATCTGGCAACCTCCTTATCAGAGGGGACTATGAGTTTCACTGGATCGACCTCCAGTAGAAGTCAGAAATTATTAACTTCAATAATTGAAAAAAAGAAAAGCTCAACATGTTGTTTACAAACATCTGTTAATGATCTATTCTATGATAGTTCTATAACGAACACTTTACATGATTCGAAACCCTGTATTAGCAACAGGAATGTGGATGTGAACTATCATTGTTTGGGGGAAATGTCTGCCTTCAAATCCTTTCAATTATGACTGTGTTAAAATATAGACTCATATCTGTTTTATTTTTTATTTTTAATACTACCTTGCTGCTGGAATCTTAAGTTTAGGTTACAGGATGCCACATTTTTCATAATCAAACACGCAAAAGCCACTGTTAAAGAGACAGAACGTATACTTTAATTTTAGATTACATCTACATCTTTAATAGCCACATCAAATCAGTAACATCAGCAGCTTTTTACCACCTAAAAACATTGCCAGCATTAAAAACATACTGTCTAAAGTAGACTCGGAAATTCTTATCCATGTATTTGTCTCCAGTAGGTTAGACTACCGTATTGGCCTGCTCACAGGTCTGTCCAAACAGGCTGTAAAACAGCTGCAGTACGAAGAAGTACGACCACATTAGTCCAGTCCTCAGGTCTCTGCACTGGCTTCCTGTGCCTCAGAGAATAGACTTTAAAACAGCTCTGCTTGTGTACAAGTCTCTCCATGGCCTCGCACCAAAATACATTAGTGACATGTTAGTCCCGTGTGAACCAACTCCGACTCTGAGGAGCACAGGGACTGGAGTCCTGTTAGTGCCCAGAGTCAGGACTAAACATGGGGAGGCTGCATTTCAGTTTCATGCAGCTAAAATCTGGAACAATCTTCCGGAAAATGTGAGACAGTCCTCTACTCTGACAATGCCTAAATCCAGATTAAAAAACAGTTGTGAAGCTGAAGCGCAAATTCAGACTGAGAGACTGGCCTCAGCTCTCACCCGTCCAGGGCCAGCCGATCACATAGTAGTAAGTAAGTAAGCTTTATTTATATACCGCCTTTCACAGACCAGAGTCACAAAGCGGTTTACAATTGTTATTTTTTGGGCACTTGTCCTCTCACTCCACACAGAGATGGGAGCGGGGTCGCCGAACAGGAGGCGCATGCCAGACCTATTGTACATATTTTTAGTGGTAGGGGAAACCGGAGTACCCGGAGGAAACCTACGCAGGCACGGGGAGAACATGCAAACTCCACTCAGAAAGGCCCTGGTCCGGCCGGGATTCGAACCCAGGACCTTCTTTCTGAGAGGCGAGAGTGCTATCCACTCAGCCACCGTGCCGCTCATAACCCTCTGACAGCAAAGCAGGCAGTTTAAAAGCAGCCACTTCCTGATAATCAGAGCTACCTGAGGCTCTTGACACCCACCGCCTCCCAAGCACCTCCTCAAGCTCCTGGTTCCTACTCTGGCTCGTGCTCCACCTACGCCCTATTCACACCATGCTTCTAGCCACCACCAGTGCTTGACCCTGGGGGATCTGAGATCATCTTCAGCAGCAGATGATCTCCCCTCTGCAAGTGTCACTGCCGGGGTCAATGCACATCATGGACTTGGAACACACAGTCATATTTTCTATAAAAATAGTAAGTATACTTTTGTAGATAAGACGTTCTTGGGAACCCACACCCACTGAGCAGGTATGATCTGTCAACCTCCTTATCAGAGGGGAGTATGAGTTTCACTGGATCGACCTCCAGTAGAAGTCAGAAATGATTAACTTCAATAAATAAATAAAAGCTCAACATGTTGTTCCCAAACATCTGTTAATGATCTATTCTATGATAGTTCTATAAAGAACACTTTACATGATTCGAAACCCTGTATTAGCAACAGGAATGTGGATGTGAGCAGATGATCTCCCCTCTGCAAGTGTCACTGCCGGGGTCAATGCGCCAATCTTGTTCATGCATTATTGTTTCTGTCTTGGTCTCTTCAGATTTAACTGTTTAGCTGTGCATACAACTGAGGGATTTTAGATTTTTATTTATTTATTTATTATAGTTATTATTCATGATTTAATTCCTTGTGTGATTGTTTCTTGTTTGGTCCAGCACTTTGACTTGCCTTGTGTATAAATTGTGCTATTGAAATAAACTTGCCTTGCCTTTATGTCCCCAGATAACAAGTCACAAATCATATCTGAACTTTTCTGGACAAAAGTTTTAAGTGGAGTTATTATTAATTAAATATACATCAGACATAATATTTACAATTCTTTTACTTTATTTTCAAGCAGATTATCCAATCAGAGAGCAGAATGAGGCCAGAACTTGGGTAGCCAGTTTGTGAAAACTAGATTTTGTTTTTACAAAAAAATTGCATCACACACATTTGTTTGAATGAAACCAGGCACAATACAAGTCATCTTGCATAATACAGAGTTTATACCATTTCTAGTTAAATCCCAGCAGGTGGATTGCATATGTTATCCATTCACAGGCATGAAGATTCGGACAACTAAAGAATGATTGTAAAAGTCATGTCCTGAGAAGCTTAACATGTGGAACTAATAAAACACCAGTATATAATAGTGAGTGTAATAACTATTTAACTCTAAGCTCTGAAATCGTACATATTGACAAATCAACATAATACAAGATTGTATTTTGAGGATGGAACGACTTCCAAGGTTAAAATGTGCCATAAATGTGTCATAAAAGGGCGTCTGAGTGATTCCAGAGAAACATTGGCCTTTATCAGATTTCCTCAGAATCCTCAAACACACCTCTCTCCACTGTATATAAAGAAAAACATGAGGGTTCAATAGTCTAGTTTTTAGACTGATCTGTTTTCACAGGTTTGTTGCTCGCTGAAAAGAAAATGCCTACATACGAAGTGAAAGTCTTTACTGGCAACCTTAATTGGGCTGGTACTCACAACAATATATTCATCAAACTTGCAGGAACCAATGGGGAGAGTGACCGCACGTGTATCTCGACGTGGGGAGGCTTCTGGATTGGAGACCAAGTTAGTATTATACTGTAACAGTAAAATATGCATTAGATAGATTTAAGATTCCAAATGTGTGTGTTTTACTTCAGTCCAACTTCAGTCTGAGTTGTTCTGAGTCGCTGGGAGATCTGGTGATGTTGGAACTGGACAAGCAGCCAGTGGCACTCTGGCCAAGTGACTCCTGGTTCGTGGACAAAGTGGAAGTGCAGTCCCCAGAAGGAAAAGTCTACAAGTTCCCCATTTACCACTGGATCCACGATGAACAGGTCCATTATTTCAGAGAGGGGACAGGTTAGTGCCATCATATTATGATATCTCCTAGAATAAAACAGATTAGGACATGGTATTATTTTCTATTGCTCTACTTTATCTTGCTAATCTATGACATGGTGGAGTTTTTATATGTTTTTAAAGATTTTTAAGGGTCTGCAGATGAAGTTTGAAGTGTAATATTTAGTTTTCTTTTACAATCTATACACATTTTGTCCTTGTCAATAGCTACGAAATTGTCACAAGACTGTCATCATCTCACCCTCTATGCAAGGGAGAGGGAGTTAAGGCACAGGAAAGAAGAATACTGGTAAGTTTTGTAATCTATGTTTGTAAATTTTATGAAGTTATTTCTGTTATTTCTGAGCATGCACCTATTTCAGTTGGAAGGTTTATGCTCAGGGCCTTCCTCACTGCATCAAAGCTCATAGTGCAACTGGTTTGCCTCCTGAAGTTGAGTTCTCCTTCACAAAAGACATAGAATTCCAATTTACTGCTTTAAAGGGGTAAGTTAGAATTTTTTTGTACCACACAGGAAAAAAAAGCAAAGGGTTGCACAATTAAGTTTCAAGATTTCATTGTGTATTTATTCCCATGCATACAATTCTAAAGTGGACGTTGGTGCCATGGTGGAGGTTAAGGTGCTAACTTAGTTGTTATACTATATTATAAAGTACTCTGTAATTTTCTGTTTCAAGGCTGTTGGAGCTGAAACTGACGCATTTGGAAAATAATGAATCTCCTTGGGCTGATATGGATTCCATTAAACACATGGCTTTCTGCCACAAAACAGATGTCACAGGTATTTTCTCTGCCTGTTGCCCTGTTGCTCTGATCGTAACTTACATGTGATGCTTCCTGCTGCTTTCAGTGCACGTGGAGCAGAACTGGGAGAATGATGATTTCTTTGGTTACCAGTATCTGAACGGACTGAATCCCATGTTGATCCGCCGCTGCAGCTCTCTACCCACAAACTTCCCTGTCACCGAGGCCATGCTGTGTCTGGAGGGGGGCAGAACTTTGGCACAAGAGATGGAGGTGTGCTACACTCAAACACGTCCTACTACGTGTATTAATTAACAAATGCAAAACATGATGTGGACCACTGACAATGATCTCGTCTGACTTTTTGCAGGATTTGGTTGTTTTTTAACTTTTAGGCAGATTTTTTACTTTTAGGCAGATTTTTTTACTTTTAGGAGATTACTGGTATCTGAAACACAAAGTTAAACAATTGTTGCATTTTGTAATCGGATGGATGTCTATTTTTCAGGATGGCAACATGTTCTTGTGTGACTACAAAATGTTGGATGGAGTGCAGACTAATGTTATTAATGACAAAGTGCAATATCTGGCAGCTCCTCTTGTTCTATTTTACAAAACCTCTGATGACAAACTGAAGCCATTGGCCATTCAGGTGAGAGCCATACACTTTTATTATAGATCATATTGGATTTATGTCTTCATTTTCTGATCTGTTGTTGAGGAATTCACAACTTGGCTGTCACCGAGGCAACTGCTGTTGTGATTTAGGGCTATACAGAAATAAAAGGAATTGAATATCACAGGTCACATGAGAAGTTCACAATTAAACATTGTGATTATATATTTTTATGATTTTTTTTGTACATTTTTCATAAGAAACACATGGAAAAGTATACAATATATGTAATTTTGAAATGTGGACTTAAGTCATCTGATTCTTAGTTCCAGACAAACTCTGCTGTTTCAGGCAGAACTTACAGTTTTTATCCGTTGCTTTGGTGTATTTCTCACATAATTCTTCATATTTGCATGACAGTTAGTGCATTTCTCAGAACAATTAGTACAAACTGAAAAACGTGCGTCTCAAAATGAAAAGTTAATTCCTAAAAATGAAGTCTTCATATCAATGAAACTGTCTGTGTCGTCAAAATAATAAGTCTTAACACCAGTGTTTACAGTTTTTCTCAGTCGCTTTGGTGCATTTCTCCCATCACATTTTAAGTTCTCAAAACTATAAGTTCAACTTCCACATCGTAGCAGTGATGTTGTCACTGCTACGATGACAACATCATTGTAGCAGTTTCTCCTTTTACAAAGTACATTTGCTTTTGGACATGTATCAGTTGCTTTCATACAGTTCTCTGCTGTACAGTCTAAGCAGAGACCCCTCTATCCACACCCCAAGGCGTTCCCAGGCCAGCTGAGAGACATAGTCCCTCCAGCGTGTCCTGGGTCTTCCCGGGGCATCCTCCTGGTGGGACGTGCCCGGAACACCTCCCCAGGGAGGTGTCCAGGAGGCATCCGGAACAAACGCTCGAGCCCCTCGACGTGGAGAATCAGCGGCTCTACATTGAGCTCCTCTTGTGTGACTGAGCTCCTCACCCTGTCTCTATGGGAGCGCCCAGCCACTCTGCGGAGGAAGCTCATTTCGACCGCTTGTATCCATGATCTCGTTCTTTTGGTCATTACCCAAAGCTCATGACCATAGGTGAGGGAGGGAACAAAGATTGACCGGTAAATTGAGAGCTTTGCCTTTCGGCTCAGCTCCCTCTTTACCACAACGGTCCGATACAGCGACCGCATCACTGCGCACGCTGCACCGATCCACCTGTCAATCTCATGCTCCATCCTTCCCTCACTCTTGAACGAGATCCCGCGATACTTGAACTCCTCCACTTGAGGGAGGACCTCACCACCCACCCCCCAGAGAGGGCAAGGCTTCTGTCAGTCAAAATGAAACATACTTATGAAGCTGAGTAGTCATTCTCTATAAAACAAAAAGCCCTTATTTCATCACCAAAGTGACTGAAAAAAACAGTAAAAGAAAGGATAATTTTGAAGTAAAAGCAGCTCTAAGCCCAAAGTGTATTTGTAGATAAAGACAAATTTGATATCGATAATATACTTTGAGGAGGAAAACAGAATGTAATAGTTTCTTAACAAAAAGGTGCTGGTCTTCCCGGACCCTTTAGTGACTTGTTCTGATGTACTTCTGCAGCTCAACCAGACTCCTGCAGAGGACAATCCCATCTTTCTCCCCACTGACTCCAAGTACGACTGGTTACTGGCCAAGACCTTTGTGAGAGCTGCCGATTTCATGGAGCATGAGCTGAACAGACACCTGCTGCGCACTCACCTGCTGAGTGAAGTCTTCTCCGTGTCTCTGCTGAGAAACTTTCCAAGGGTTCATCCTCTATACAAGGTGAGCTCTGCTCTGTGGCATCACCACTGGAAGGACAAAGTAAGACAAATGATCTCTGTCTTATAACAATGTTTCAACCTATCTAAAATCATCTGCTTCCAAACTAAGACCAATCCTCATACTGTGAGCTTATGTGCAGAGAAATTTTCTAGGATTTTTTCCAAAATAGTTTTGGACTGGGAATTTGCCCAGTTACAACTCGAAACATGTCGGCTCCTGTCCATTATCAAGACAAAGCACCTATGATCTCCATGAGTGCCATGGACAAGTCTCAAGGTTCTCCATCCCCTTCTACATGTGGTGGATATGAACAAGTAATCACACACTGAATACAAAATTACTATCAAAAGTATCTGAAAACAAATTATTTTCTCCCCAACCGTGAACACTCAGGGCTTATTACATTTAGTGTGTTTTCTGTTTTTCTCTGCAGCTCCTGGTTCCTCACACTCGTTACACTCTACAGATCAACGTCCTGGCCAGAGAGAGGCTGATTTCTAAAGACGGGGCTTTGACACTGGTGAGCTACAGCAGCATGTTACATGTCTCCACACTACTTACATGTAAATCCAACATTTCAGATAGGCGCCTGTGGAGTAGAGGGCATGGACACCATCCTCCAGAGGGCCCTGTCCTCGGTGACCTACAGCTCTCTGTGTGTCCCAGACAACATCAAAGAGAGAGGAGTGGACTCAGTGCCCAACTACTACTACAGAGACGATGCACTAAGTGTTTGGAACATCGTGCACAGGTACTGGAGTCAGGAACAACAAATGTCATCATACATCATGTACATGAACAAATAACAAACCTGGTCTTGGCTTCAGTGCATGTCGAGCAGAAACTACTTTAGCAGTGTTTCTAGACATACACAGAAAAGACATCACAGCCTTGATCCTTTTGTCATTTCTACAATTCCCACCATGACCTTCAACAGTTGTATGTGTGATACACCACTGTGGGAAAGCAGCGGCTTCATGCTCTTCATGTCTCCAGGTTTGTGAAAGGAGTGATAACGCACTACTACAAGAGCGATGAGGAGGTCCGAGATGACTCTGAACTGCAGGCTTATATCAAGGAAATATTTGAACATGGGTTTCTGTCTAAAACAGAAAGCGGTAAGTAACAGACTGCCTTCTCACATCTCTCTTTTACCAATGATATAATATGATAATATAATATAATGTAAATGATTTTGCAGGAATCCCACAGAGCTTCAGTGCTGTAGATGAGGTGGTGAAGTTTGTGACTATGGTCATTTTCAATTCCTCAGCCCAGCACTCAGCTGTCAACACTGGACAAGTAAGTTCAAATGGTCTATTTGTACAATAGTTACACACCTATAATATGTCTATGCTCCCATCTACTATGATATATCCAGAGGTGGCAAAAGTACTAGTTTTAAGTACAAGTAGAGATACTTATCTTCCAAAACACACAAAACAAAACAACAAGAACATTCAAAAAAACACACGTGCACACACACACACACACACACACACACACAGAACAATAAATGAAACAAACATAACCTGAATATCTTATGAACATAAACAAAACTCAAATAAGGAATGATTGATGTTTGTGCACAGCACAGTTGCACATGCTTGACACTTCCAACTCGACATTGTCAATAAAAGTCATAATCTACTGTCAGTGAGGGGGCTCCCACCTTGTGGCAATCATCTTGTTGTTGTGCTGTTTAGCCTGATCTGAGAAAAGGACCAGAGGAGGCCAGGGATCACTTGAATGTTTTTATTTTTTATCTTTATCTGCAAAGTGAATACCCATGTTTAAAGTGTAAGGAGTACACTGCAATAAGTGTTGAAAAATACTTTCTCAAATTGGAAAAAAAAAAATACTACTACATTTGAGCACATTCTGACTTCCTTAAAACAAGATTTGCCAAAAGAAATGTCTCCCTTGGAATGAAAAAAATAGCAAAACTTCTTCAAATAAGACTAAATTGCTTTGTCCTATTGGCAAATCTTGTCAAAATATACAGAAAAAAACATTTGATTCAAGCTATTTCTACCTCACATTTGCTCATTTTCTGTTGTGTAGAACATAATTAGTAAGACGTTGTAGGATATCATGAAAACCTTACTTAAGTAAAAAGACTTAGTTACTCTCCACCTCCGCACATGTCCATTGTGCTGGCCAATGATTTCAAACAGATTGCAGATTGCACATGGTAACAGTCCATTGTGGTTGTTTGCAGTTGGACTTTGGTGATTTCATGCCCAACTTTCCGAGCTCCTTACAGCTGGCTCCACCGACTGTAAAGGGCAGAGCGAAAGAGCACACACTCCTGGAGACTCTTCCGGACATCAACACCAGCGCAAAGACTCTGGCCGCGCTCTGGCTCCTCAGCACTCAGTCCACTGACTTTGTAAGTGCACCATCTGACCATGAGGAAGATACAGATGTTCAAAACTTTGGGGTCACAGAGATTATAATTGATATTGCATTTAGGGGAATATTCACTGCAATAGTCAATCTGTTCAGATTATCAAATGGTTTAAACTCATAAATGTCTTTATTATTATGATTTCTATTCATGTTTCAATTTAATTAAGGAATAAGATTTAAGAGAAGAAATTACATTGACTTCAAACTTTTGAACGGTATAAAAAAAATGGGTTTTGATGTTTTGTAACTCAAAGCTCAACTTAATATTTATTGTGACTTGTCTGAAATGTCTTCAAACCAGTTGAACATTCTCACACATTATTCTCACACCAAAACCTATGAAAAATCTGTAATCTGAGTAATATATGTAAAGTATGTTTTGAGGTCGAATCCCGGTCGGACCAGGGCCTTTCTGAGTTTGCATGTTCTCCCCGTGCGTGCGTAGGTTTCCTCTGGGTACTCCGGTTTCCCCTACCACTAAAAATATGTAGGTCTGGCATGCGCCTCCTGTACTGGCGACCCCGCTCCCATCTCTGAGTGGAGTGAGAGGACAAGTGCCCAAAAAAAATAACAATTGTAAACCGCTTTGTGACTCTGGTCTGTGAAAGTCGGTCTATAAATAAACATTACTTACTTACTTATTGGTCTTTCCAGGTTCCTCTCGGTCAGTATCCTCAAGAACTTTTCACTGAGAGTGTTCCTACAAAGCTGATCGAGACGTTTGAAAAAGAGCTCAGAGATTATGATGACGCAGTCGACTCCAGAAATGAGAATCTGAGTTTGCCGTACACTTACTTAAAGCCTAAACTCATGGAAAACAGTGTGTCTCTTTAACTCCTTGGATGGAACCTGACAAATTATTTAGCCTTGTATCGTTCCTCAACACAATGCATGTAACAATAAAAAGTCACAAAATATGTTTTATGGCTTTGCTTTGTCTTTTTACACTCGATCCAAACAATATGAGTGATTTGTTAATGGACCAGATCCAGGCCCGGACTGGCCATCGGGAGCATCGGGAGATCTCCCGGTGGCCTGCGTGTCAAAGTGGCCTGGGCCTGCCCTATCATCACGGTCTATTTTTTGTTTTTTTTTTGTTTTTTAAATTTAATTTCATCCTTACGGTCTTTGCAAACTCCTACCCTGCCTGGTGGCCTGGTCCAATGAGCAAGGCCCCGGCCAAAGCCAGTGTTGCGCGTGAACGAGTTCAAAAGAACGCGTTCATTGAACACGCTCATTTTTTTTCGTGAACGTTGAACTGAACGCAACACATTTTTTTAATAAAGATCTTGAACGTGAATTAGTTCATATTATGTGTCATGAACGGCAGACAATTTGTTTTCCATTTAAAACTGAGTGAAATCTGTTTTCTCTTTTGAAACGCAACGAGAGAAAGTTCCTCCCTCCTGTATTCTCCGCACTGTTTCCGCCGAAAACTAAAAATTCCTACGGTTTCCACCGTCTGTGAACGCACCCCGACTCAGTGTACTTGCGGTGCGGCGCTGTATGCTAGTGCTATTCATAGGTTGTTGGACTCACATGTGCCGTGATGAAAACACAGGGGTAAGTCAGTGACACAGGGCCGTTTACATTTGACATAAAGTATAGACACACGTTCTGCAGCGCATTACAGTTTGTACTTATGAGCAGAGATGGGACAACTCAGTTCCCATTCTGCATTGGAGTCAAAACATCCTGTGCAGTGTACAGGATATAATATATAATTATATATATAGCGTTTTATATATATATATATATATATATATATATATATATATATATATATATATATTAGGGCTGTCCAAAATAGCGCGTTATTAACGCGTTAACGCAAATCAATATTAACGCCGTCATTTTTTTTATCGCACGATAAAAAAAAAAAAAAAAAAAAAAACAGACAAACACATATACAGAAAAAAAAACAGAAACAAAGAAAAGGACTAGTTCAGATACATGGACAGCACTAATATATATATATACCACGTATTGTGATTTCTAGCTCGTAGTGAAAAAAAATATTTATTTGAATATCTCGCAAAAAGTAAAATGAACTGAACTTTGAACTAGTTCAGAATTAAAATTGAGAACTTCGAACGTGAACTGTTCACTTTGAGCATGTATGAACTGAACTTGAACTAGTTCAGAAAAGCTGTGAACTGGCACAACACTGGCCAAAGCTTTACTGTCATTGGGCCAGAGCAAAATTAAACAAATGTGACGTCACACGTCGGCTACACAGCCAGGCCAGCCTAGCAGTGCACCCAGTGTAGCTTCCCCGGTTGAAATGAGTGGTCTCTCCAACTGATGGTTCATACACGTTTTTATTTTTCCTTTTATATGAGCTGTAACGATGTGATTTTACCTTACTACTTTTTTACAATAATTGATTAGCTTGTTATAGTTATACACTAATGAACACTTAGTTCATTGTGTGTGTGTGTGTGTGTGTGTCTTTATTCTCACTAAACTCCATAAACGTTACGTTGCTAAGCAACGTACAACAATCCTTAAACGTCCGAGATTATATAAACAGTCAATATAAAAAAAAATAAAGAAAACAAAAGTTTTGACAGTCAATCTTAAAACTATTAAAAGAACATCAAAATACAATGACAAAAACCCAAATTTAGAACCTTGTTTGGCCTGAATGGATGAAAAGCTCCCGGCCTGAAATGTTGTCCCACTCCGGCCCTGACCAGATCTGTGCATAAAGGTCTTGGAGCTAAAGTGATAATTTCTTCCTTTTGGACCAGTTTTGGTTCAGTCCAAGAGGAAACTCATTTCTGAAAAATCTGCACAAGAAAAGCAATAGTTTGATCTAAATCCATATAAAGTAATAAGGAAATAAGAAAACAGATGCAAAAGACAACCTGAAAATTATAGATGATAGAAAACCAAATGAATGAGACTTCTGTCTGTGCTGACAACGGTGTATGCTGGGCAAAAAAAATCTTTGAAACTATTGGACACAATAAACATTTTGATTTATGTAAAACACACAAATGAAGCAACATTCGTGTCAATCACTGATATTTAATTTGACTCCTTCAACAGTGTCACAACATGACTGGACCCTTGAGCTTATAATATAACAGAACAACTCTGGTGCAGTGAGACTCATTAAATACACATTGTATGCTTTTTACTGCTGTGATGTTGAGATTATGAACTGTCCACAATTTTGACTGCCACACATCGCCTTAACATAATCAATTGTTATTTATGCTAAATCTGAGTATATTGCATAAAATTACTATTGCAATTATTTCTAAATCCACAAATGTGGGTGGTGCGTCTGTTTCCTTCACCACCCAAAACAGGCAGCATAGACATTCAATCCAAACTTAACACTGTAATACATGTGAAATCGGTTCATGCTCACAGACGCAGATTTCTAACTATAATGTGAGTTTTAACCAGCCAAGAGCAAGAGTGCACCAGTGATTGTTGAAGACATTATTCTGCGATTTTAAAACATGGTTTTTACACATTGATTTTCAAGTTACTTTTCTTATTCAGTTTAGTTTATTTCAAAGGGGGACAATGCAATTTAATAAAACACATGATAAAACATGAGTTAAAAAAGCCAGAATTAGCCAAGGAGGCTATTTTTCATCTGTAGTCCCCTGGCTGTGATGTTAAAAAGATATTAAAATACATTAACATGACAAAATTACAAGACAGAGATAACATCATTCAAGACTAACATTGTGTTCACACATTCAAAAATATACTATTTACAAGACTGCATAAGCATATCATACATCAGTTAATGTGGGCAGGTGTATGTGTTTACCATCCATTGTTTTAGGTGCAGTGTAAAAGCCCTGTATGTGCTCTGCTGTCTAACAGTCTGTGGTAGTGAGTTCCACTCTCTGGTGCCTCTAACGGACCAGGCAGACTGACTGAAGGTGCTCTTACGCAGAGGGACCACACGGTCGCCTCTCACGGAGCCTCTAGTGAGCCGCTCACTACTGTTCCTTTGACTTATCAGACCTGCAAGTGGAGTGGGAGCCAAATTATGAGTTGCTTTATATATTAAGCATAGATTTGAGAATTTATGAAGATCTGGCCAACTTAGAAAGGAATATGTCATGTGACTGTGCTGAGGTAGTGCATAAATAATCCCTCTCCTTTTCACAATACAACATACATCAAATGGCAAAGATGAGATTTTAGAAGATTCTACCATGAAGAAGCAACAAAACTACAGCACGTCTATTTTAGAATAAAACCTGGTCCAGTACTTCTCAAACTAGAAATAGGAAAATGTGTCATACATAGGGCTGAAACAACTAATCAATTAATCGACGACTAATCGATTATTGAAATAGTTGACAACTATTTTAGTAATCGTTAATCGTTTTCTGGTTCACACGGACTCAAACAGAGCAAAAATGACATGAAAATGTAGTATTTTTTATTAAAACCAACTTTGTTTTTATAATTTCATGAATATCTGTCTATCTCATCCAATCAGATAGCAGAATTAGCACAAAGAGCCTGTTAAAAACATTTACTTTAAGTTTACGCCATCAATACGTCCTCGAGTGTTGCCACTTTAGCTTTTTGTGATGAAAAAATTAATTTTTTCTACACAATTCACAGCCAAGCGATTACTCGATTAATCGTAAAAATAATCGATAGATTAATCGATTACAAAATAATCGTTAGTTGCAGCTCTAGTCATACATTAGTGTTTTATTCCAGATCTGACATGTGCAGGTTATAATCTTCATTTGAAATCATTGTTTAGTACGAGTTATTGCTTCTGAAACATTGAAAGGGCATTTGCTCCCATAATAAAAGCACCACATTAGAGCTTAGCTAATACAACTGTTTGTGTCAGCTTTCTTGAGTGTTCTTGGAAAAAGTTCCCAGTTGTTTGGTGTTGTGGTCTTTGAGTTGTTCCAGTTGCCTCTGTCCTCTCCTGAACAGATACTCTATGTGCATCACGTCTGATCTCTTTATTTTGGAGTTTTCTTTGAATTCGTCTTTGATTCTTGGGACGAATCCTGGTTTGGCCTTTCCGGCACGAAGGAACTGCCGGTACAAAGACAGCACCTGCTTCTGGAGTTTGCTGTGGCGCGACATGGTGAATGCAGAAGGCGCTTAAAGTGAAATCTGTGAGATCTCTGGACACACAAGAGAACAGGGCATCCTTAAATGACATCCATGTATTGCTGTCACAGTCCAAACGGTTCTGAACCTGTCAAAACGGACAAATGATTTTGTTAACAGAAAAAAAACAAGGGATAATACATTTAAAGAACACAATCGGGATCACCTCAATCTAATCTCATGATAAGCCTTGAGAAACTTTTGAGAGATAATGGTGGTTTCTCAATTTCATGTTCTTAGTCTCAAGACACTCCAAAATATAATATCACCTCATTAGAGATTCTTGGATATCGGTATACTCAAAATAGTATATGGATTTTTCTTGATCTTCAAATATGACAACAACAGACACTTGAAAATGTTCTGAGTCTATTGAAAATAACACTTGAACACGTTAGCCAGAGAAAGCGTTTCTCTCGTTTGTGTTTTAGAGCAACATAGAATATTTAATACATGCTTAAATGGCTAAGCAGATCCATGTGAAAGACAATACATATCTAACGCTACATCAAAATATACACACAACACGAGTTATGCGTAATGGCAATTATGGTGTGTTAAGCATAGACGTACAAGGCCAAATACAGACGCTGAAGAAAACATTGAATGGTGAAACAAGCAGCGATATTAACTACATATTAACATAGTTCGGTAACAGACCACATGAATTATTGAACGTACCTGTGTCAAGTAAAATAACGATCGTGTCCGTTTCGTGAATTTAAGTGCAGAACCAGAAACATGTGTCCTTTACGTCTGAGGTAAACACGACCTTATCCAACAGCGGAAACGGTGAGTGTTTAGGTTACAGCTCATTTCCGGGGAAGATAATTTTTGTCCGTATTATATTTTAATGTATGAAAATAGTCAATATTTTTGAATATGAGAAAAAATATTGAAAATGTAAAATTAAATAAAATTGTTTTGAGAATTACGCCACTCGTGTACGTGATGACGCAGTTCCACTGTATGCCCGTGCGTCATCACGTCACACACGTCACATTATCAACACAAACCTGCGGAGTGCGGAGATGAGCTGAGAGAATCAGGTTCGTCTTCTAAATGCTTTTATAACACCTCAAAACACCACTTACCACATACAACGCAATGTATGCTGTTATGTAAAATAGGTATATGCTGCTGTCATTGAAAATACCAACTGTTTTGAAGAACTTGCTAATCTCTGGCTAACATAGTTCGATGACAGGGGTTTGTATGGATATTCACCAAAGGAAAACAAAACAACCAAGTTTTTTCACTTTTGTCTTTCTGGCTTGGTTCTATTTTGTGGCAACAAATCACAAAAAGGGGTCAATACACATCACATTCATTTTGAATAGCAATAATTGTCTTATTTCATATATGTAAAATCTAAAACTATATGAATCCCTTCCACATATTATCAATAAGTACATTGTTGAAAAATTACATTATTATGTTGTTTATGATACAACGCCACTAAAACGCCATGTCAAAACTAGTGGCCCAAATAGTCAGAAGCAGTTCGTTCAAAAGTAAGAATCTGCTTTTTTAAACACACTATCAATCGTCTTATATCTGATCATTGATCTATGGTTTAATTTCCCATGGTTTAATTTAACCTGCTAATAGGCTATTAATTTAATCCTTCTTTATCGATCACCAGTACAGTTCTGTTGAAATGACTTTGTCTGAAAATTTTTATCTGGAGACCTAAAAACATTTGGCAATTTTGAAATCCAAGTTGTCCAAACATAAAACTACAAGACAGCTTCTACAGTGATGTTGATACTTTAGTATGCATAACCCAAATAAATACAAATAGCTGTATAAAATTGTAATTTGCCCCAAATGTTACTTCACTCTTCTTCTACAACTGAAAATATATCAAATTAAAAGAAAATAGTAAATATCTCCCTACTAATGTAAAGAAAGTGTTGCACACTAAATACTATGCATTGTTCCATCTATCCTTTTGAGAAATTATATACAACTACAGAACATCGTGAAAGGGATAAAACTCTCTTAATCTTTAGTGTTTCAGTGATGGATTCGATGGGGGAGCTGGAGGAGCAGGTGGACGAGCTGCTGGAAGGAAAGGGTGCAGAGGTGACCTTGTGTGACGTGGGTTTGGACCAGAGTAAACCAGCCACGCTCCGGAAAAACGTCACTTACATAGTGTGTGCGCTCATCTTCAACGACAAGGTACCACCATAGACTGTAAAAGGTACCGCACTCTGCACCCTATTGGCAGGATTGCAATATTTGAATATTTACCTCAATTCTTCTCTTTAATATACAGTAAATAATCATGATCCATATCGACGGCAAAAGGAAAATATGTGTTGACATCTGTGATGTCTGCTCCGGTCTTCCCTCCCACTAAAAACATGTACAATAATACCCCAACGTCACTCCTGCCCACTGTCCGGGGTCTGGGGCCAAGACTCTCTTGAAAAAGAGATTCTGAAATCTCAATGGGACTTTTCTGTTTTTTTGTTTGTTTTTTAATCTTTTGTGCCAGGGCTTACTCATAAACACATAAATAATGATTATGTGTTTGTAAGTTCAGATTGTATGGTTCACTTGAGTTTGTCCAGCAGTGGGCGCTCTTGCTGATAGTTCGTGTGTGAACAGGAGGAGGTGCTGATGGTGCAGGAGGCCAAGTCTGAGTGCTACAAACAGTGGTACCTCCCAGCCGGGCGAGTGGAAGTGGGAGAAAGCTTGGAGGAAGCGCTCAAGCGAGAGGTGAGAAGGAGATACTAAACAATCCCAAAGTTTCTTTGGTGGCTTATATCTTTGTGAAGACAAATATCTCATAATTTTTAGAAAAATATATTTTATGATATAGCACATTTCAGAAAGGACAGCAAACCGCTGCCCTTTACAGTGACAGTGTAAACAAATCAATGAAGACATAGAAGATAAAGGGGCCTTGCCTAAGTAAGAGAAAGTCTGAACAAGTGAGTCTTTTCGTTTACTCTCAATCTCAAGGTCGGCGCACATTTAATATTATCAGGCAGTGTTCCATTTGGAAGGAGCATAATGGTTAAGTGTGACATAACTTCTCACATATGTTGTCAAAGCTAGGGCAAATAAACAGCTTAACTTTTGCTTAGTTTTGAACTCAGTGCTGCGGTTTATTTTGTTCAATTCATGCAAAAATCAAGAAGCAGTCATTGGGTGGGAGTAAAAGGAGTAAGTGGCTTAAATTGACGAGATAAGCAAACACAGAATTATAGAGAATGACCTTTTGTTGAAAATTAGCTTGAGCTTGGACCTGGAGGTACAGTGTTTTATGTCATCTTAACAGCCCCATTATAGCTCCTGAAGGACAATCAATTTGTGTACATTCTCTCAAATAAGCTTCATCATGCATTTACTAAAGTGTGTCTGCCAGGTGAAGGAGGAGGCGGGCTTCGACTGTGAGCCTGTGTCGTTGCTGATGATCCAAGAGCAGGGCCCACAGTGGATCAGGTTCATTTTCATGGCTTCTGTCACAGGTCAGTCCAAGAACATATGTCAATTGTCCAATAAAAATAACATTTGGGACAATATATGTGATAAATGACACACTGTAACACCATGGGGAACTGATGTGTGTGTTGTGCAGGGGGCAGTCTGAAGACCCTGTCTGGGGCTGACCAGGAGTCTCTTCAGGCCTGTTGGTGGGACCGGCACAGTCCTCTCAGCCTCCGCGGCCGCGACATCCTCCGACTCATCGAGTCTGGACTCAAGTATGAGCCTGCGTGTCTGAGAATCCTGACTTTAGTTTTACTCTTTGGGTTCGAATGTATTGTGGAATCAAATTGAAGCAGAAAGTATAGACTTACCAGTATCAATAATAGTTAAACACAACTAGAGCTTTGTCCATCCTGAAACAGCAGAGATGTATCCAATGTCACCTTCTATCTTACAGAATTTGTGTTTTAATCTAATACTGGATTAGATTAAAACACTATCCGTAGTACTATCCGTCCATGTTCTCCCGCTTTATCCGGTGCCGGGTCTCAGGAGCAGCTGCTCACCTGGGGGATCCCGAGGCATTCCCAGGCGAGCTGAGAGACATGTTTGCTGGTTGAATATAATTAGCTGTGTTTTTTAGAATTATGTTATTATTATTATTAGAAAGTGGAACATACTAAAACAGTGTTACTTTCTGTCTGTGTTCAGGTACCGTGTGGATCCACTGCATCCTCCAGTCCGACCCATAGACCTGAGCTGTCGACACGTGGTCCAAAGACTCGTCCTGATCTACACCAACTCAAAGGACCAAGTCTGGCTCCTGGTCTTCAGAGGTTAGGCCAGCTTTATACCTGCTTAGACCTTTATTAGACCTGCTTTGTTTATACCTGCTTTGGTCTCTGTATAATCCTTGTGTGTTTTTCCACAGTGCCGTTCGCTCACCTACCTGTAGCTTCTGCGATCAGGACCCATGTGGTGTCGTGGGGGGCCAACATGGTGGTCCAGGTATTATCCAGGTCCAGACTAGGACTAGACTCCCCCTGAGGCCAAGTGCTGCATAATTGATTTGTCAGACCCCAAACAAACAACTTTGATACCATAAATCACCTTTTACTTTACATTTTTATGCCTAATCCAAAATAAGACTGGTCTCAATTTCCAATTCCATTTTCACAAATACTTTCAATACGATTCAATATGCCCCTTCACACTGTTTCTGCCACATGATTGCTGTACCTTGATTTTAATTCAGATGTGGATAATTGATCTAAAAAATTGGAGCTTGTGATTTGTTTTTGTTTTTTATTTAATTAACAAATGCTGCTAAACAATACACTCACAAAGTTATTTATCTTCATATTTTGAGAAATTCTGTGGTTATTTCCATGAGCATACTCCTCCACTTTGATTGTCTTCATGTGTGTAAAACCTCTGTTGTGGGACTGCACAGGACGCGCTGCCCTCGTCCTACTACGATCACGACGTGAGTACTCTGGGCGTCCTGTCGCTGCAGCACAACGGGCGTCAGAACGGCTGCACCGACGGCGTCTGTCTGAACACTCTGGTCAAACTGGTGCCAGACCCGCCACAGCGAGACGAGGACGGAGTGAAGCTGCCTCCTCCCGACGTAGAGCACCCTCCGAAGGTCAGAGAGGCCTTAACTTTTGGATGAGTTGCGTTCATGATGTAGAATTCTACATAATTATAAAATTACAATATTGTTCAAAAGTTCTTTTATTTCTTTAATTCATATACTGTGAAGCTAATACATGATGTAGACACAAAGTGAAACATGTCAAGCCTTTGATTCTCTCTCCATGGCCTCGCACCAATGTACATCTGAGATATTAGTGCCATGTGAACTAACTTTGGTTCTGAAGCAGGTCTAAAGCAGGTCTGGCACTCTGAGGAGCACACGGACTGGCCTCCAGCTGGGACTCTGAGGAGCACACGGACTGGCCTCCTGCTGGGACTCTGAGGAGCATAGGGACTGGCCTCCTGCTGGGACTCTGAGGAGCACAGGGACTGTAATTTTTTTTGGGGGGGTTTTACTGTGAGCCATATTGATCAACATTATAATATATAAAGGCTTGATATCTCTCACTTTGCATGTAAAGAGTCTGTCATACATTAGTTTCACATTACAGAAGTAAAGAGGTCTTTTGAACAGTATTCACATTTTCCGAGTTTCACCTGTATTTCATTAGAGGGCAGGTGCCACAACACAATGTGACAGAAGCATTAAATTAAAGAAATTGTTGATAGGTTTTCCCCAAATCATGTCGTTGATTGATTCACAAACTCGCTATATTTATGTCTGAAAGTTCTTTCTATGACTGGACAACATCATGCATATGTTTTTTGAAAATTGTCACCACTTCTAGCCATTTATTATCAGAAGAATATTAGACCATAATTGATATACACTGACAAAGAATATGGATTGGCCCTGGAATTAAAGAAAAAATTCCACATGACCACATCTTATAACATTTGTATGATAGAGGACCCTACTTTGGGAAGCTGTTTACGAATTTCAGATCCATCCATTATTATCCATTTTCTACCCTTTAATCCATTTCTGGGTCAGGGGGGTGGCAATCAGAGATGCCACCCAAGTCTCATAGCACCAGCCCCTCACTGACCCTCTGCAGGTGGTGAGTCCACAGGAGGACGGCTGCTCTCTGAGTGTGAGCATAGCCTTGATCTTTCAGTGGGTGCTTTGGGCAAAGTGGGGTTAAGTGTCTTGCCCAAGGACACAACGACAGTGGTCATCAGTGGGAGTCGGTGGAGAAGGTGCAGAGGTGGGAATTGAACCCACAACCTTCTGGCCAATGCTCTACCAACTGAGCTACTGTCGCCCTTTAAACCCATCACTTGCTAACTATATTTACACTGATTTGGTTTTATTTTTCAGATTGAAAACCCTCTGTACATTTGGCACGAAATCCAGAGTATTGAACTGAAGGACAAACTTCTTCTGAGGATCAAGAACTCGACCATCCTCCCAATGCAAAGTCTGTACTGAGGAGGGCGCCACCTATGGAACAACAATGGACCACTGCACAGTCTGTACTGAAGAGGGCGCCACCTACGGTCCAACAATTTACCACTGGAGTCTGAACGTGTCAGGGAGGAATGAATTGTAGGTTCAGGGTTTCAGTGAAGAGGCAGAAAACAGGAGATTTGAGAGAAATGTATTTTTTCCATGGCCCTTCCACATTTTGTTTTGTCCTCTATCTATTGTCTTCTCCAGCACACAGGCCCGAAGACAACTTTTCAGGTGTTTAAAAAAAAACATATTCTCAGCCTTTGTAATCGGGAGAATGGCCAATGAGTACTACCAAGAGTATAGGACTATATTACATGCTGCTACTATTGACCAGATGCATCAACGTCATCCAGTCACGTGATTGTGAATGAGCTTACGGCGGAAGTATTGGAAACTAGCATTACTGCGAGAGCAAAACGGACTACAACTCTTAAAAACGGAGCTTCCTCACCTAAATCGAGAAGTGGCTGCTTCAAGCACATGTTCGATTACGTTATAGGTGGAAGTAGGACATCAGGTCAGGGCTCACAAAGAGTGGTATTTGGAGAAGTTAAGGATCGCCTAACTGGATGTTGACCCGTACCTTCTCCCCCCAGTCAATTTTATCGATTAAATAAAATGTCTATTTTTGCCCAAATTCACCCTACATGATCTTTATCATTATCGTTAACAATGCATCCCCTCACACTGGAGCAGATTTATGTGTACATTTTGCTGGTAGCATTAGCAATAGTCCACTTTTCTTTTGCTTTTCTGTTCACAGCCAAACATGATACGTACTGACGGAGAGGAAAATAGTGAAACACGCAATTGACTTAAAAGATAAAAATGTCAATGTTGCAGCGCACATACAGGACAGTAGTAAGAGACACGTTTGACCTGTGTCATTGTCCTCCACATTAATGGAAATAAAATAAATACAAACTTGTGATTGCTTTATCTTGTAAAAGGTGTTATATTAGGGAGTACTTGGATGGGTCCCAGTCCTTTTGGTTGATTGCCGCTGGCCATCGTCGTCTTCTGTCTTCATGACGAGCAGGTATCAGATAAAAAAGCTTATGTCCTTGCCTGTTAGTATAATCAACCGCACTGCAAAATGTCACAGTTTTGGCTGTAATGCGCTGAAACAGGTTGTTTTGGTCAGGTGTCCGTAGGCTCGCAGTTAGACTTCTGCCGTCTGTCACGGAGACTGGGCGTGGCCGGGACGTCACATGCAAGGGGTCAATATGTCATAATGTTAAGATATTGACTCAAACTCATCTACAGTATGCTCAAACTATGGCTGTGTTACGAAAGCGTTAAAGCGTTTTTCCGATTTCCTTAATTTGGTGAAATCGTCATTTTTAAGATATATTAACAACTAGAAACTTGCAATGGCTGAAGCCATTGCGATTGACTGCGGAACAGATCTAATGTGGAAATCTGCTAAAAAAAATCCTTGAAATCCTTTAAAAGGCCTTGAAACTGTTAAAATACTTGATAGATATTTGAAACTCCTGAAGTCCTTGAAATTGTTGAAACCTTTAAACTCCTGAAATCCTTGAAACTGTTGAAACATTGAAACTCCTGAAATCCTTGAAACTTTTTTAAACCTGGAAACTGTTGAAAGTGTGGAAACTCCTGAAATCCTTGAACCTCCTGATATCCTTGAAACTGGTTAAATTCTTAAACAGTTGAAATCCTTGAAACTACTGAATGTATTGAAAGTGTCCTTGAAACTGAAAAATCCCCTCACCGCTGAAACAATTTGGTTCCTGTAACTAAGGAAACCTGGTCTGTGGTCATTATCTGGTGGTGGTCTGAGTCTTCGTTTGGGTCTTGGTCTGGTGGTATAATGCAACCTATTAGGTTGCATTATACTGGTTTACATGGAAAAATCCCTATTAGGTTGCATTATACTGGTTAACATGGAAAAATCCCTATTAGGTTGCATTATACTGGTTTACATGTACAAATCCCTATTAAGTTGCTTTATACTGGTTTACATGTAAAAACCCCTATTAGGTTACATTATACTGGTTTACATGTAAAAACCCCTATTAAGTTCCATTATACTGGTTTACATGTAAAAACCCTATTAAGTTGCATTATACTGGTTTACATGAAAAAAAACCTATTAAGTTGCATTATACTGGTTTACATGGAAAAATCCCTATTAAGTTGCATAATACTGGTTTACATGGAAAAATCCCCATTAAGTTGCATTATACTGGTTTACATGAAAAAAACCCTATTAAGTTGCATTATACTGGTTTACATGGAAAAATCCCTATTAAGTTGCATAATACTGGTTTACATGGAAAAATCCCCATTAAGTTGCATTATACTGGATTACATGAAAAAAACCCTATTAAGTTGCATTATACTGGTTTACATGGAAAAATCCCTATTAAGTTGCATTATACTGGTTTACATGGAAAAATCCCTATTAAGTTGCATTATACTGGTTTACATGAAAAAAACCCTATTAAGTTGCATTATACTGGTTTACATGAAAAAATCCCTATTAAGTTGCATTGTACTGGTTTACATGGAAAAATCCCTATTAAGTTGCATTATACTGGTTTACATGGAAAAAACCCTATTAAGTTGCATTATACTGGTTTACATGTAAAAACCCCTATTAAGTTGCATTATACTGGTTTACATGGAAAAATCCCCATTAAGTTGCATTATACTGGTTTACATGAAAAAAACCCTATTAAGTTGCATAATACTGGTTTACATGGAAAAATCCCCATTAAGTTGCATTATACTGGATTACATGAAAAAAACCCTATTAAGTTGCATTATACTGGTTTACATGGAAAAATCCCTATTAAGTTGCATTATACTGGTTTACATGGAAAAATCCCTATTAAGTTGCATTATACTGGTTTACATGGAAAAAACCCTATTAAGTTGCATTATACTGGTTTACATGAAAAAATCCCTATTAAGTTGCATTGTACTGGTTTACATGGAAAAATCCCTATTAAGTTGCATTATACTGGTTTACATGGAAAAAACCCTATTAAGTTGCATTATACTGGTTTACATGTAAAAACCCCTATTAAGTTGCATTATACTGGTTTACATGGAAAAATCCCCATTAAGTTGCATTATACTGGTTTACATGAAAAAAACCCTATTAAGTTGCATTATACTGGTTTACATGAAAAAACCCTATTAAGTTGCATTATACTGGTTTACATGGAAAAATCCCTATTAAGTTGCATTATACTGGTTTACATGGAAAAATCCCTATTAGGTTGCATAATTACACTGAAGTCCTTGAAACTGCTGAAGTCCTTGAAACTGCTGAAGTCCTTGAAACTGCTGAAGTCCTTGAAACTGTTGAAGTCCTTGAAACTCTTGAAATCTTGAAACTGCTGAAATCCTTGAAACTGTTGAATCCTTGAAACTGTTGAATCATTGAAACTGTAGAAATGTCTGAAAGAGCTGAAGTCCTATTAAAATGCATGGGCCTATTAAAATGCATTGCAGAATTCTCAATGCAGATTTTTGTCCGATTGCGGAAAAACCGGAAATCGCTGAAGTCCCAAAAGTAATAGCAATAATCTCCCAAACATGTGGAACGTTTTGATGTATAACTTGTGGAAATTGTTGAAAATGTGAAAGCTGTGAAACGTGTCAAAAAAAATGACGGAATAAAGAAATACAAAACCAATGGTTGACTGCGGAAGGTTCCGCAGTCAATCAATTAGATAAGTTGGAGAATCAGTTGAGATATACAGAAAGTTGAGCCGATAATGGATGACATCACACAAGAAATATTTATGCAACTTACAGAAAATAATGATGGTGATTCACGCAAATGCATAGTAATATTGTCATGATTTACCACTTGGAAGTGAAGATGTATATAAAAAATGCCCACCATGAGACCTACTTCACGACTCCCACTGATGACTGCTGTCGTTGTGTCCTTGGGCAAGACACTCAACCCAACTTTGCCCGAAGCCCCTACTAAAAGATCAAGGTGGACTTACCACCTGCAGGAGGATCAGTGAGGCGCTGGTGCTCTGTGTACTGGGTGCAGCTCTGACTGCCACCCCCCCCAACCCAGAAATGGATTTAGGGGAAGAAAATTGATGGATGGATGGAACTATTATTTACATTTGTCGTCCTTTTTTAAATGGTGTCAGTGTAATAATGCAATAATTTTGTGTTTTCAGAACAACAACTCAGCTTTGACAGAATAATTATTCAGTCTAATTGTATAAGTTGTATTTTAGGATGCCATTTTTAGTGGTTAATAGGGCAAATTTAAAAAAATGCAGTATAATTATTGATCATCTACTTTTCTGCTTCTCTTCATCTGGATCAAACAACACAGTTTTCTTTCATAGAGAGAAATCACAACTGTTTATTCTGACAACAGCCAGTATATAGCACATAAAGTGATAGCCTGGCCTTAGCCATCCGTACACTCCGTTCAATCATCATTTCACTGCATGTAACGTCTGGGTCTAGTCCATATGTTAGTGATTACAATCGATTGAATTTCAACCGACCATTCAGAGAGCGCGGAAGGCAGGTGTTGTGGTTAGTTGTGGGTTATGTCAAGAGGCAGGTTGTAGTTTGGCAATGGTGAAAAATGTGATAGTAAAGTAATCCGGTCTAGTTCTATCAAGAAATTGAAGCCGGAGCAAGGGTAATGTTCTGCAAATGTAATCGCTGGAAAAAATTGTGGTGCTACTCCCCACGGGCTCCGTTAGCAGCAAAGGAGATGGCTAGGCTAAATGCTAAATGCTAACAACAGACTCGGGCTCACTACTGTACATATGTCACGGTAAACTCAGATCCAATCGTTTCAATCTGCAAAAGGAGTTAACCCCTCCCACCTATAGGGACGTCCCGCGTGACGTCACGCCATTTGGAGCAGCCATTTTGAGGGTGTAGAGATGCAAAACCGCCGATGATACTACAGGTAGTAGCGAGATTTTCCCATAATGCCGGAGCAATGCTGTGCA